AAGTAAGACTTCCTACATACTCCACGACATACAAACGCAAGAGACAAGTGTGGGATAAATGCTAGAATTGTTGCTAAATATAAAATGGGCTCGCTCTAAAGAGGAAAAGAAGTCTTTTTTCCTCCACCAAGTAGAACTATTTTAAATGAGTCTTTAAAAGAGGCAGTCTAGTACAGTGATCTAAGGTCATGAACCTAAGATCCAAGCTACTTATGGTCAAATTCCAGCTGCGGTATGAAGTTCTCTGAGTTTAGGCTTTCCTGTTTTGTCAAATGTGAACAGCAGCAGCAGTTCCTTCAGTTTTAGCAATGAACACTTAAGTCAACATATACTTGGAAAAGCACCTGGGCACTTCATGTTTTGGAATGTAAAACGGTAGGTTACGTTTTCACGAGCTGATATTTTCTTATACAAGCAAGAATAACAACTGTCACAAAACCACTTTGTTAAAAAATCATGTTTTAAACATACTAATGGGGAGACTGCATAATTTGGAGGAAACAAAAAGTCTGTCATGAAATAAATCAGTGAATACCTCTAGATCTTGGTCAAAAAGGACTCATTAACCCTTGACTCACTAGCAAGCTCATAAGGAAGGGGTTAAACTAAGTGAACTTGCTTCTCTACTACCTTAGCATCTAAGGTAAGAATATGCTTTAATGCGACTACTTTCTATTTAATTTTTACTATATGCCACTATTTCAAAGGTCTTGCTTTCTATTTTCATTTCCTGAAAGTGATACCCTACTTGGAGGCAAACACCACGCTTCTTTTTTGAGTACAGACTTTGGAGTTTATGTCAATGGTGTCCTTTTGGTAACTGAGCACATTTCTTTTAGTGACTGTCAGATTATCTTGTTAGAGTCAAAGTTCCATAAACCTAAACAATCAAAGAAAGCCTCAAAGGTTCCTAGGTAAGCCGGCCAGGAGGGAGGGGAAGAGGGAGGGAGGGACGCTCTAAACATGGAAACCAATGTCTCCTGTCCAAACCTCACTGATCAGATGCTTTGAAAATGTATTGAAACAAAAATATGAGCATGCTAAATAAACACAAAGTAAGGTTACTATCCAAAGTTACCTTAAACCTACTATATTTACTAGGAATTATATAAAGACCAAGCAATATAGCTAATGTGGTTGACTACACATTACTAATAAATACAACACAGAAATTACTGAAAATGATTGGCAGATAGTTTAGAAAAACTTTACACTTCTATTCATAATGGGTTCATGTGAGAAAAATCTCAAAAAGGAAAATTTTACAACCCATAACTTTCCTTGTACTTCATTCAACTACCATTCCTTAGATTCCTAAAGAGCTAACAGGTGATTAAGCAAGAAAATTAAACCCTTGTCTTTTGTCTTACCAGGAAACCAGCCACCACGGGTAAAGTTGTCTTTAATCCATCCTAAACTAAACTTTAGTTTTCCAACTCTTTTCTGTAATTCCTAAATTCTAATTTAACTTTGTTTTTGGCTTTCTGAATGTCTGGTCAAAACTGAAACAGAGATTAAGAAATATTATGAGACGTTTGTTTTATTCCTTATGTAGATAACTTCCTTTGCTAACTCACTTTATAGGTATAATTCTTGTATCAATGTTAATGAATTTATTACAAATCTAGTACCAATTATAAAGATTTTTTTCTCTTCATCTCAGACTTGTGTACTCCATTTGCAGTTAAAAAAACCATTCACTTTACAAATAAACATAAACCAATATTCAAGCAGAATCAAATGGTTTTATTTGCCTAGGTATTTGAGTTAGTTACTACTATAAGAAACTCCCATTTTCAAAGTACTCAAGAGCTAATTGGTGAAGTTTAACACACCTGAACACAATTTCAAGATCTTTTTTTTTTCTTTCTTAGTAGTCCAATCAGTAACCAGGTTTTCAGAGATGCTCATATGCACACGCCAAAACAATGTCCTATTTGCCTATGGCCAGCCATAAAATGACAGGATTTGCCTAAATAATCCATAATAGGTAATCACCAATCTGAAGGGTTGTTTTTTAAGTTTTAAAAGAAAACTATTACGTTTCAAACAAGTTCAACAACTAAATTATCATTAAATGTTCCTGCCAATTTAAAACTCATAAATTCATTATCAAATTATACTTTCCAAATTACTCTCCCTAAGACTCTGAACCACACGTTTGTTCCATTTTCTTGGGGAGGGGGAGAGGTTCACCTCCCGATTTACACATGAAATGATTTGACGAACCATCAGAATGGTTTCTGCAAATTCCAAATATGTTGTGCCTGCCTTTTTTCCCTTCATTTACAAGAATAGTTCTCAGATTGTGGGGTGTGACCCCCAGGTCTTAGGGTCAGTCACCGAAGACCACAGGAAAACAAAGATATTTACATTATAATTCATACAGAAGTAAAATTACAGTTATGAAGTAGCAGCAAAAATAATTGCATGGCTGGATGTCACCACAACATGAGGAACTATATTCAGGGTCAACGCATTAAGAAGTTTGAGAACTTTTGATTTACACAAAAGAGAAAATTAACAGGAAGGTAAAACTTCCACATTCAGCTACTGCCCAAAAACTGGCCTTCAGTTTCCCTTTCGAAATGAAAGCAAAGCACTATAATAACTCAATATGAACTTAACTTCTATGTTTTAACATAGCTTACAGTAACTGTGTTAAGAAGTAAAAATACTTGCTTAAAAAGTACCCAATTTTATAAAATGTTTAATGTACACAGTACACTTATTTCTTAAATCATACTGCAACGTCAACACCAATTATATGGGGTTTTACTCAGCACACAAAAACATTAAAGAGAAAAATATCCACATTTTAAGCACATAGATTTTTACTTTATAGACAGTCACATTTGTATTTGTATGGAGCAATAAATGAGTAAATCTGTTTTTTTTTTTTTAGAAAATGTTCTTCAATATACAAGAGAACAGGCTTGAATTCATCTTTAAGATTCCACAGGCCAAGTAAAACACTGATGTTTCTGGGAATACCCAATTTCTACTCAATAATAAACATGATAGAAACACTAGAATATAAGCAATAATGGCTTAACCTACTGAAAGATCATACCGTTAGCTGTAAGGCAACAGGTGTTTTAAATCATTAAGGGTCTTAGTTATAGAAACTCTAAGCAGCCTTACAAACTTGGATCAATATGTAAATTCGGGTCACCTACTAGTTTACTTGGAAATGCTTCTATTCCCACAGTACTTGTTAGGAATTAATGGCAGAAACAAAAAGATTACTAAACCGTAGTATTTCGTATCAGATATTCCAGAATATTCAACTCAAGCAATAGAGAACGAATACAATAAAATTGTTACTGCCCATTTAACAGATGGGTACGGAGGGGCAATGGCTTAAACGAATTTGACTCAAAGTTACACTGCGAAGTAAAAGGTGGAACTGTGAAGTAAGTCAGGTCTAAAACTCTTTCCACTAAGCCCCACTGGAGTGCCCGAACACACACTTGGGGAAGCTATAAACCACTGGGATGGCGACAGAGGGAAGGGAAAGTAACTTTTCAAAAATAACAAACAGGCACACTGCCCTTTTCCCTAAAACAGTACTTTCCCTTCATAGGACATATCCAAGTATTTAAATAATTCTGTAAGCCAAGTGCTTTGGCTGACAAGTATTAACACTTCCACACGCTTGCTCTACTGTGTAAGCACAGTACGTCTTTCGGTATTTTACAAGTTTGAATATAGCAAGCTTCTTAAGCTTCAAGCGGACTTATCTACTCTCTGCAGGCCTGCGCTATCCCTCAACCGGGCGAAGGGCTGCACTTCTCAATCGAAACGCGGCCGGAGCTTCTAGCAAGCCAGGGGCAAAGCACAGGACCACGTGGTGTCTCTCAGAAACCCAAGGTCCCTACAACGCTCCCTCCTTTTGACAAGGAAGTGGAAATCAGCGGTTTCCTTTTCCAGTGGCTCCCTGACACGGACCACCTGTGTGGTACCCGCCGCAAACATCCTCAAAGCCCGAGTCCCGGAAGACAAGGATCAGAATAATGGGGAACTTGGGGTGCCGACGATGCCAGCAAAGGGACGACCGGAGGAGCGCGGCCAGAGAGGTGGAGCGGCGGAACCGGGATCTGTCAAAAAACCAGTGGCGGACTCACGCCGGACCGACTGCACCCATCTCCGGGAAGGAAGGCCCGAGGTGGGAGCGGCTCTGCCGGAGGGAGGAGGACCGGGAGGCGCACGAGCCTCAGCCGCCGCTTCCGCACAGCTCCGGGCGCGCACCGCCCACCGCGAGCCCCGGCCCTCCGCGCCGCTTCAACCTTTGCCCCCAAAATCTGCTGCCCGGGCGGCCGCCGCCGGACCTGTCCGCACCTGTCACCCAGTAGGGAAACACCAGCCCCACGGCTCCCGCCCAGCTCTCCGCCCGCCTCGGGCCACCGCGGTCACTGCGACCCCGTTCCCCTACCAGGTGTCCCCTTTCCGGAGCGAGGTTTTGAGCAGCGTCGCGATGTCAGATCGCTGGGTGTCTAGGTCCGCCGCTCCGCCTTCCGCCATCTTCTTCCACTAGCGGTAGCGGAGGCGGCAGCGACGGCGGCGGCACGCCCCGGAGCATTGTGGGAATGGC